TTCTACAGGCATGTAGAACACCAGGTAGAAATGGTTACGTTCTGAAAGGAAGAGCTAAGGGAACTCTCCTCTTAATCCCTCTCTTCCAGCCTGCCTCATTATTCTGACAGTTTCTCAGGCAGGAGATACATAATGTAAAGAGGAGAGCTTTTTATTCCCCCCAAGGACTCCCAGGAATGCCCTAGAAAGTGAGCTGCAAATGCCAGCGGAGACGGCTTGGGAGGGGTAAGACAGGACAGAGTTCAGCATTTACTCATGCCAGGTCCACCTCTGCCCCTTCATTCATTCATAAAACATTTATTTCACATGGTGCTAGAACCCAGGTACTTACAGGAAGGCAGGCAATAGACAAATATAGTTGCAAGGAAGAGAGTGCGATGAAGAAAATGAGCAGCTGCAACGACAGAAAACAACACGGAGGTGGCGGGGTGGGGCAGGGGGTGAGGGGTCGCCAAGGGAGCGACATCTACAGTCAAACCCAAAGACTGAGAACTCAGCCAAGCGAAGGGTGGGGTGAAGTGGGTCACAGTGGTCATGGGAGGAACAGCGTGTGTAAACCACTAAAGGTGGGAGAGGCTGGTGTGTGTGAGGAAGGTCCCCCCCGGGCAGAGGGAGGGGGCAGGAGTGGTCTGCTGAGGCAGGAAGAGGCCTGAGATTCACAGCGCCTTGAGGGCCCACCTTTCTTTGAGCAAATTTTGATTTTATTCAAAATGCAGTGGGAATCCAGCCACTGAGGATTTTAGACAGAGATAGCACTTTCTGGTTTCTGTTTTAAGGAGCACTCTCTGCTGTGATGACCCAGGGAGGTCAGGAGAGAGGAGATAGAGCCCACCTCCAGAGTTGAAAGGGAGGAAGGAGATGGGGAAGGTGTGAAGCATTTCAGAGCTGCAAATGGTAGAATTTACTTAGAATTTACTTGCTAACAGAATGAGGCGGGGTGGTGGTGGGGGAGGGGCCGAGGAATGCAAGATATTATTAGGTATTTTAATCTACCGGTCCTTTAGTCTGTGTCCTCCATTAGAATGTAAGCTCCGTGAGGGCAGGGATTTCATTGGTTTGGCTCACTCTTGGTTCCCCAGGACACGATACAGGCATTTCATAAAGATTGACTAAACAGTAAGTGAGCTGAACTAAGGGATGAGAGGGCAGGATTAAAGATGACATCTCAGCTTCTGGCTCACCTAGGGGAGAACAATGGAAGCATAGCAAGAGAGGAGGCCCAGGGAGGCAGAGAGGTGAGCGGCGAAGGTGCCTGCGAGGGGCCAAGCAGGCAGTGTGAATGGGCATGGAAAGCAGGGAGAAGAAGGGAGTGTGAGTTTGGGTCACCTCTGTACACCAGCAAGGAGAGCAGTGCCTGGAAAAACAAGAGGCTCGATGTGTTTGCAGAATGCATGAGTGAGTGAATGAAGTCAAGAGGCGAGTTCTGGACTGGAACTACAAACGTGGCTGTCACCCGTCCCTGGAGGGTGCTGAAGGCCGTGGGCGTGGATGGGGTCATTTAGGGAAGAGTTTTGGAGAAAGAAAGGAAGGGAACCCGCTAACCCAGCCACCGCCTCTCCCCACACGAGGTATTGCTGATTTAGGAAGCAGGGACCCTAGCTCAGCAAAAAGCAGAGCCCTGCAGTTCCAGGAGACTCCTAGGGAATAGCCATAGAAGCAGGCAAATCTGGTGGGAGGGGGCCCCATAGAGCTGTGGGGAAAGGAGAGGCTGCCAGCACTAACAGCAGAAGGTCCCTCTGACCTGGAGTCACAGTCACACTCCTAGCTCCCTCTCAGCCCTTGATGCTGTGGTCAAACCCAACCGAGGTCTCCCAGGAGACAGCAGGTCTCAGAGTCCCTGGCAGCTATTGCTGGCCTCTGACACAATACAGGCTGTTGGGGCATGGGTGTGCTTATCAAGCCCTGGGTGACTGAGCCCACTCGTGCGCCATCTGTTGTGTGGGTACCACGATGGGCACACACAAGGGCCTGGAGCTGGGAGATGAAGGCGGGTGCTCTTGGTGGTGATGCTGTCAGGGCCCTGGGAGGCTGCAAGGGGTGGACGCTGGGTATATGTCGTCAACCCAAGCCCAGGGTATCCACCGAGTCACTCTGGACTGGATGCACCCCAAATATCGCTCTCTGCCCCACCCTGTGCCTGTGATTGGCTGGGCAGAGATTGACAGAAAGTCTAGCAGGGAATTCCACCCTAGAGTTGAGGACTTTGAGGAAAATCATGCTAGGGAAGGAGCTTATCTGAGTCCTGGTCAGAAGACCGGGTTCTGGACCTGCCTCCATGACTGATACCTGGGTGGTTCCATGTACGTCAGAACATCTTAGAACTAGAAGGGGTCTTCTAGTTCCACCTTCCAGGCTGAGCAGAAATCCCTCCCATGAACCCCCAGCCCATGATCATTCAGAATCTCTCTGAACTTCCAGGAAGGGGATTTCACTCCCCATAGGACAACCCATTCCGTCAGGAGTTTGTTAGAAAGCCTTTCTTTATCCAAAGGCTGGAAGGACCCAACACCAGAGGACAACAGCATCACCTCCAGGGAGGACAGTGGGATTGAGAGAGGGAGACAGGGTTTCCCTGTTGATTTGGTTTGGGATGCTTTCAGCACTGTGTGTTAAACTTGTGATGGCAAGAAAGGCAATGAAAAAGACAGGTTTTTCTTGATTGAAAGCCATTCTGCCTTCCTAATATTTCTACCTACTAATCCTAGGTCTTCTCTCTAAGATCAGAGAATAATCTAAACCCATTTCCCCTCTGATGCCCTTCAAATACCTGAACTTGATCTCCATCAAGTTTCCACTGAGACTTCTTCAGGCCAAGCTCCAGACCAGTCTCCATCCCAGTACCCCCAGAAAACAAAACTCACTGGGTTGCAGAAAGAAGGAACCAATCACTCCTTGAGTTGGGAGTTAGCTCATGCTGATTCATTAGTGAGGCCTGAGAAGATTTTCTTCTCCGTTTTCTGTGTGAGTGTGTGTGTGTGTGCATGCGCGTGTGGGGCAGGGGGCAGGGGGCATGATCACATCACTTACTTCCTCCAGTCTTGGTTTTCTTACCATTAAAGGGGAAAACAATACCTTTGCTATGAGAATCAATACAGATGAAGGAAATGAAAAACATTAAAAAGCACAAATCTATACTCTGGGTGTGATGACCCAGAAGCCCCATTCCATTTAGATAGCAGCTAAGTGTAGGGCTCATAGAGCCAGATGGCTTGGGTTCAAATCCCAGCTTTACTGCTTATTGGATGTGTGACCTTGGGGAAATGACCTGACATTACTGTGCTGCAGTTTTCTCCTCTGAAACAAGGGACGATGATAACATGAAGCTCAGAATGGGTCTTTAGGAGCATTAGATATATGGCCTAGCACTTTAAAAAGGTTAACTGTTGGGTATTACCACCCCAACTCTATTCCTTCACAGAGAGATAGGGGTTCACAGAAATGAGGCAAATTCATGGCACTTATTTGAAAGGTGAGGTCATTAAACCAAAGCAGTCATTGGAGTGAGTTGCTCCCTGACCCCAATATTTGTAAACCATGCTTTGTGCTAGGCACTGTGCTAAGGGTGTCTCAGGCCCTGCCTCATTGGAGGGGTCTGAGGGTGTTGCTGGGGGCTCCAAAGGCATCTCCTTGGGTCCCCTCAGGCTCTGTTGGCACTGTGTACCCTTGGGCTGCTTGCTGGATTCTCAGCCCCTGACCATGAAATGGTTCCACATTGATAGACAAAAAAACCCCATACAAACCAAACAACAACAAAAAACCAAACACCATTTTGGATGTGGGTCCTGATGCATAATATCATTATGGAACTAGCAGCGCCTCCCAGCCCATTATCTCCCAGCCAAGCTTCTCTGAGGCGAGCCTGGCTGCAAATGGCTTTCTCCTGTCTGAGGGGTGGGGGGGTGGGGGGTACAGCCCCTACTTGCCCTCCACTGCTGGAGGAGAGATTTTATCTTTAATTAACAACTGGCTGCCTGCCATTGCCTCACCTCTGCTGGCCCAGGCTCCCAGCCTGACTCTCTGCTTCAGGAACAGGCTTCCCTTTGCTTCTCCCCTCCCCTCACCTCACCCTGCTCTCTGGTGAGCTCTTGTCCTTTCCTGGACAGATGACCCTGGGTCAGGCCTTCACATTCACTGACTCTGAGATGCATGCTATCATTACACCCATTCTACAGGCAGGGAAACTGAGGTTCAGTGAATTGCCCCAACTTACCCAGCTGAGAAGTGGCAGCTGAACTGAGGTCTCCCATCTGCCCACTGGCTCGAGTAGGGAGGGCAAATGTGTGCACAGGCTACATAATTCAGAGCCCTGTGCAAAACAAAAGCACTGGGCTCTTCTTCAGTAATTATCAGTAACTTCCAGAGGGTGACAGCTGAACATTAGTTGGCTGTGGGCCTTCTGAGCGACTCAGAGGGCACAGCCCTGAAGCCAAGCCCCTGTGTGACTGTAGGAGGGTCTAGGGTAGGGATGACATCCGAGCATCCCCCACCACCCCCACCTCCTGTCTGGGCCCAGGACTGTTCACTTCCCAGCCCTCAGCGATCCCAGTGTGGCCCCAGGCCCTTGAGAGCCTCAGTTCATCAGCCATCCAGTCATTACAACTCCGGCATCCCCTGGGCCTTGGCCCACATAGAATTGGTGCAATTTCAGGGGAGAGAGGAAGCCCCCTGCAAAATGAGGAATACAGTGGAACCGCTGAAATGAACAAGTCTCTTCTTCCACGTTATGGTTGGGGGTGGGGGTGGGGTTAGGGGGATGGTGGCAGCAGCAGAGATCACTGCCCAGGAGCCTAGATTCCAGGTCAGTCCTCTTGGTGACCTTGGCCAGAATCACTCTTCATCTCAAGCGTTCGTGTCTGGTTCTAAATGCAGGAGTTGGGCTCCTCTGGTGATTTCTGGTGGGGGTGGGGTTAGGAGTATGCATTTCTTAAATGCTGTGGGGGGGCAGCCAGGGAGATCCCCACAGACATAGAAATGAAAGGCGGAGGCAGTCACACAGCGGGCACGGCAGAACGCTCCAGATGTCTTTATTGGGGCTTGAGCACGGCATGACAGTCACAGGCATGCGGACAGGGCAGTAGGGCCCAGCCTAGGCATGCCTCAGACGCACGAGGGGACAGCTTTAGAAAAGGACGACCAACATCAGGGAGGGGCAGGGCGGGCTGGGAGTGGGGAGGGAGGGCTGAGGCAGGGGCAGAGGCCAAGGTCGAAGGGGGGCACCTGGCCTCGGCTATTGCACGCATCCTCTGGCCACCAGCCAGGAAGTACAGTATTGCAACTGGTCTCCGCTCGCCCGCGGCTTCCCCTTCTCAGACCCCTGAGCCAGATGGGCAGACAGACCCCTTCCCTGCCCGTCTGCCCAGCAGCATCTTTGGAAAACAAATGGACGAAGGAGACAGAACAAAAAACCAGAAATAAAAAAAGACAGAACACCCCCTCAGTCAAGGACACAGGGAAGGTGGAGGAAGGAGTGGAGGAAGCTGCAGAGGAGCCCTGGGAAGTCCCCCAACAACTGGGGCGTGGGGTGGGAGGTAGAGCCCCAATCTGGGGTGGGGTGAGGCCAGTGGGGCAGTGACCCCAGGCGGCAATCTGGCCTTCCACCCGCCTCTGGCCCACAGGGGAAATGCTCCCAAGAGGGAGAGTCTAGCCTGGGACCACCCAGCTGGACTGGCAGTTCCCAGGTGTATTTTTCCTGGGATATTCCACACACACATTCAGCAGAAACAAAGAATCAGTGAAGGGAAAGGGTGGGGTGGGGCAAGGATTTGGGGAGACACAGCCTAACGAAGAAGACAGACCACCAACAGCACGTGCACTACACACAATAGTACAGTATGTATGAATATAGATACTATATGTGCATATATATCTCTTCAATGTACAACAGAACAAGAACATCAGACCCGATGGCTCTGGGCCCGAGGGTCACATGGGAGGTTTTCCATCAGTCCTGTGCAATCAAGGATATGAGTCTTTCCCAGCGAAAGATTCTTGCCTGGGTTCCAGAGTTGCCCTAAGCCTCTGGCTTTCTGTCTGTCTGCCTGTCTCTCTCACGTTGGTGCCGCTTTAAGAGAGGGTGAGGACTTCGGCCTGGGCATAGTTGGACGAGAGGGCGTCTTGGCAGGTCTCTGTGTTTAAAGAGCACAGGTGTGAGACACTGGGACGCACGCTTTCGGCTCAACATTGCCTTCTTGAGAGGTAAGGAGTTCAGCAAAAGAAAGGGAGAAACGAAGAATGAGATATTAGAAGGAAGGCAGCTGCTGACCCACACGCTGTGGGCTGAGGAGTAGGCCAGAGATGCAAGGCATGGGGCCTGGAGTTAAGAAACAGAAAGAGCAGGGATAGGAAGGGAAGGGTGAGCCCTTCATCATCCTGCCAACCCAGCGCTGGGCCTCAGTGACCCATAGGTGATGTCACAGCTCAGCCCCACGCCTGTCGGATAATGAGCTCCAGGAACCAGGAGCCCTCAGGTCCCCAAAGCTGCAGAGCGGTGGGGAGAGGGACCACAGCTCTGCAGCCTGGCATGGAGGCGGCAAGGGAAGTTCCTGCCGGGGCTCTCAGCCCACAGGCCATCGCCCACCCAGCCTGTGCTCCCCCCAACACGGTTCCATCTGCTGTCACCACCTGGGTCTAGTCCACTGTCCCAGGGGCTGGCGAGGAAGGCTCCTGAGTGGGCTGCCATGTCAGGCCCAGCTCCCTTCCTCAGTCTGGCAGGAAGAGAGTCCCAGCAGCTGCAGGGTGAGTGCTGAAGAGGAAGCTCAAGGAGGACGAATGTGCCCATCTCAGGAGAGGAGGCAGGAAACGCAGCACCTCAGTGAGCCCTTCCAGACATCTCCTCCTCAGCCTGGGGCGGCAGTGGCCTGGGCCTTCCCAGCTGGGGCACAGGCAGGGCAGGCAGGAGGCTGCAGTGGGGGCAGGGACTTTGGGAGGTGAGACTCTTTGGCCAGGGCAGATGAGGCCCGGCCCTGAGGAAGCTCTACGAAAAGAGAGCCAGGGCTGTTGCACAGCCTCTCCTCTGACTCCCGTGCACCCTCCCCTCTGGCTCCAGCTCACAGCTTCTCCTCTCAGAAGCCCTGAGGGCTGAGGACCGGTCTCCACAGTTGTCAGCAGCAACTGGTACAAACAGGAAGAGAGGTAGCAACTCCTGCCTGGGCTGCTTCCCCTGCTCTGCGGGGAGGGGCTGGGCCCCAGCTGAAGGTGAAGTCAGTTAGAAGCCAAAGTAACGGGTACAAGCCCAAATCCAGAGGCAAGGGAAAGTAAACTGTGCTCTCAGATTGTGGGCGGAAGACAGAGCTTTCCCCTAAAAAGGGGAGGCCCAGGGCCTAGGCAAGCCTGAGGCCTGTGAAGAGGCCCACCTTCCCAGATAGGGCCTAGAGGACTGTGGGGCCCTGTAGACTCACTGTGTCCTTTCCCAGGACCCTGAGAAGGAACTGGGGCCAGCAGCCTCCTCAGTGTTCCTGTTGGCTCAATCCTGTGTCAGCCCTACAGAAGCCAGGGAGCCAGGAGGGGTGTGTGGGAGCCCCCTCAGCCCCCCCAAGGCACAAGGGGCCCCAGGCTGGCACTCCTGCATCATGTCGCCCAGGGACATCTGTGCCCACCATGGGGGTGCCATGAGCATGCCCGTTCCTGTGGGAGGGAAGAGGCAAGGAGGCGGTGGGTGCCGTGGAAACTTGGGCTCCTGACAACTTGAGGGCTGCCACAGAAATAGCCGCCTCAGTTCCCTGAACCAGAAAGGCAAGTGAGAGGAGGAAATAGCTATAGTGCCCATGCTACACCGGTCACCTCACTCACAGTGTCCACGCTGGAGTCAGGACCCCAGCACCGCTGGGGAGCCCAGTGGGGGCAGGAGCTAAACCATCCTCCTGGAAGAGAAGCTGGGCTCTCAGACTGGACTGAAAGGGTAGAAGGTGCCCTGCTCTCTGTCCTGCTCCCCAGGGCTTGCCTGTCTGTGTCCCCTTCTGAGGGGCAGTGGCATGAATGGTCCTGTATCTTCTCAGCTCTTCTTCTCTTCCTCCTGAGAACAAACAGGACGCCAGCCCCACAGAGCACAGCAGGGCGGGGAGAGCCCAGGATGCACCTGAAGAGAATTTCCTGTGTCTGCCCAAGGCTGAAGAAGGCACTGACTGAAATGGGAATGTTTCTAGAATATGTTCCTCTTCACTGTCCCCTGCAAGCCCATGAAATGGTCTGACCTTTCTGCCCAGTTCACCTTCCGGGGCGGCTTCCAGAGCCCCCAGCCTCCTGCCGAGTCCCCGAACGCTGTCTGGCGGCATCTATCTCTGCCCGTTTGGAAGGAGCAGACGTGGACCTTACTTAGTCATTCCCTCCACAGCGTTGCATAATCTGGCTCTAAAACTGCCAGGCGCCCAGCTCTGCTGTCAGGTCTAACTCCCATCAGGTGAAATAGGAAATGCCTTGGCGGAGGTGTTCCGAGTTCCCGGGCTGAGGCGTCCGGCTGGTGCGCTGGGGCCTGCCCTGGGGAGGGGCCCCCTGCGGCTGGGCCGGCCCTGGCGTGGCCGCCTGCCCCCGCGGGAGGCAGTGGGTGGGGGCAGGATGGCTCCGCTCCCTGCACTTCCCCTCAGCTGCCCCTGCCCAGGGCGCACCCCTGCTCACTCTGTGACTCACAGACCTGTTGTGCTCCTGGGCTCGTTAAGTAAATGAATACACTTAATTATAGAAATTAGATGAGTCTCCGGTTCTGGCAGCGATATAGAGCGCAGAGGCTGGGTGGGAGCGGCAGGTGACTCAGAGGCAGGGCTGGGAGCTGGAGGGAGCAGGAGAGGAAGGAGAACTGGAGAGGAAGCAGGAGAAGCGGCGTGGCTAGTGATGCCGCAGCTCGGGGGGTGGGCCACAGATAGGAGGCTGGCTCCAAGGCTGGGCTCCGCCCGAGAGGGGGACATCCCCGCAGCTGGGCCGCCTATCCTGGGGCCCCGACTTGGGAACCCTTGCCTGCGCCCCACGCCCCAGGGGACAGTCTTAATCCTGGTTGCTTTGGGTGTGGGATGGACAGACAGACAGACAGAGATGTTCAACTGCAGGCTGTTCGGTTACTGGTTGAAGGCCCTGAGGAATGGGGGTGCATTTGCTGATTTAGGTGGAAGCCTGAGGGGGAGGCAGGGCCCAGAGACACAGTTACACAGTCCTAGGGGTGATGGCACCTTCAGCAGAGAATGGGAGTGAGTGGGGTAGGAGGCCTTCAAGTAATCTCCCCTCGCTCTCAGGCTCCAGGGCTGAACCTTTTAGGGAGCTGGGTGCTGTGGACAGGAGACTCGGGGGCCTCAATTCTCCTGTATCCTGTTTGACTCCCGAAGACCCAGGAGGGATGAAGCTGGAGGCATGTGTGTGCCTGTTTGTGTGCAGGTGCCCAGGGTCGGGGAGAGCTGAGGGTGCAGCTACGAGGCCGAGTGTCCAGGGGGTGGGCTGGTGAGCGGGTGGAAAGGGTGGGCGAGCAGGGGCTTTCTCGGAGGGTAGGGTGAGCTGTATCGCGATGCCAGTGGAGACAGCCCCAGACTGGTTCCAGCCGCTCCCGCTATGTTGTTTAGGCTCCGGGACTTTCCACAGCCTTGGTGAAGAAAAGGCACATGGGTCAGGGGGGCGAAGCTCCTCGCCTGAGACGTTCCGTGGGATCCGTGTTCCGGGGACCCAGCAGGGCAGGCGGCCCCAGGGTGGGCTGCAGAGGTCTGGTTCAGCTGGGAAAGGTTTCCTGGCTCTCTCTGGTCTCCAGATGGACCCCAGGGCCCCATCCTCAGCTGCCCTTCGCTTTGTCATCATCCCCAGGTAAGTTGCCCTCCAGTTGTACAAAGACCCTGCAGCCCTCAGAACCCTCCTTTCTCAACCCTGAGAAGCCCTAATGATCACACGCCGCTTTCCTCCGAGGGAGTTCACACTCTGTCACATAGGTACCTACAAGGTCTCACTGGTGTCTGTGCTGCTGGCTGGAGGAGGTCTGGGCCCGCTCCCTCCTGGACCTGACTGTAGCCCAAGCGCAGAGAAGTACGCCGTGGTCTGGCATGGGTAAAGTTGCCGAATGCACACTGGGAGTTTGGCGATGCTAATTGCCACGCATCCTTAGCAGGGCCTGTTTCCCAGCAACCCACCTGTTCCCTCTCGAAGGTCACTCTAATTGGCTGAGCTACATGCTTGTTGCCAAGAGGCAGTGTGGAGGCATCTTGAAAATAGAGCAGCCAGGCCCCACAAGCACCCAGAGAGATACGGTGGTGGGACACAGGCTCCCCAGCCCCACACATGCTCACACGCGGTCTTCTCCTCAGATGGGACCTGCTCCCCAGGACCTCAGGGCCTCTCCTCTGACTTGCACCCTCACAGCTTCTTCCTCCACACTGCTACTTTCACTGAGTCTTTCACCACACTGGGTGAAAACAGGGGTGCTCAGGATTTCTGCTTGCTCAAGTCCTCCATGGGGGTGGGGTCCCTGCCACCCCACCTTCTATGCTAACCACTTAGCATTCTCCAGCCAGAGCAAGGCTCCAGGTCTGAACTAGGACACAGGAGAAGCCTCAGTGTGTTTGGGGTAGGGGGTGGGGCAGGAGGGACAGGCACACCCAGAGCCCAAGGACTGGGCTATGCAGAGGCCAAGGGTGACCAGAGGAGCACAGGGGAGTGTGTAAGTAGTATGAGCACCATCCATTTAAAACTCTAAATTTAGCTGGGCCATATCCAGGTTCCAGATTGCTGCTCTTGCTTCTGCCACCCAGCAGGGCACATGTCCAGCAAAACTGGACACATAGCTCTCAGGGCTTGGTTAGGGTCAGGGTGTTCTGGGGACAGTGGTGATGAGCACGCCAGGGAAAGGGCCTGGGAAGGTATCCCTAGACATTTCCTGGGCTGGGCAGGCCAAGGGACATCCTTGTGGGGACAGAGACATCACAGGCTATTCCTATAGCAGCTACTGTCCCTGCCTCACTTGACCTTGTTTTGGTTTGGGATTTGGGGATGGTGGGAAGTAGCCAGGGGAAAGGGGTTGGACTGAAAGAAGTCTAGTTAAGAAGCAGCCTGCATACCCAGCTGTTTTGGGGTGAGAATTGGGGGTTTATCCTGAAACTAGGAACACTGGGGCTTGAGAGCCCTGGTCCTCAGCCATCATGGCGCTCCACCATCCCTAATCATTTCAGTCCCACTTGGGCAGGCCAGGAATCCCCGAGCTCCACTGTGGATGGAATTTCAGCTTTCCCTTGAACTCTCTAAATCCTTCAGAACATACCCCCTCTCCCTGCCCACTCCCAGCCCCTGGTCACCTTCTGGCTCTACCTGGAAGGGACAGTCACATCCCAGGGGCTTGCACAGCTGGGCTGCAGGACCCCCAGTTGTAGGACGGAGGAGGCAGGGCCTGTGCCAGACTCTCTGAAGACCTCACACCAGAACCCCATTCTCACCCTGACTCCTGAGACTCCTGGGAGTCTCCTGGGACTACTTACTTAGGAAACCTGAGCTGTGTTTAAAGGAGGCCTAGGTGAAGGCTAGCAATGACACTGTGGAGTCAGACCTAAAGGTCACAGTAGGAACCAGAGGAAGGGAAGGTGATCAAATGCAAGGAGTGGGCAGGAGCCCTGATCTGTGGTCCTTTCACCCTCCAGCACTTTTCTTTCTGGAGGGCACCTGGTGGGTTAGAGGGGCTCTGTGTACCTTCTGGGGATGTCTCGGGCCTTTCTAATCCACGGGCTAGAACATCAGGGGACGCACCCTAAAAGCGAGGGTGCGTCCAAGGCAGAGGAGATAGTGGCCACAGCCTCGGAGGAGGAGGGGACCTTAAGCTCCATGGGGGACACTGAGGAGACTCAGCTCCATGGGGGCTCCCCCCCTGCCCGGCCTGGGGAGCCATACCTTTGCGGACACTACCATCGGCGCAGGCATAGTCCCCAGCGCTGAGCAGGAAGCAGGCAGCTGCCTTCTTGTTTCTGTCTCGGGTGCCGGAGCGGCGCAGGGCCCTGCGCTCCTCAGGGGTGGGGGCGGAGGCCAGGGGCTGGGTGAGGCCGGCTCCCTCCTCGTCTGACAGCACCGCACTGGCATCGCCATTCTGCTTGGAATCTAAAGGGGCAGACAGAAAGGAGGCTGCAGGAGGGCTGATCCCTGGCCTAGAGCATCACTTACCCAACCCACAGGGAGAGTGCTGCCAGAACCAGGGGATGGGCCTGCTCCTGGGGGGCAAAGAGTGGGATGCTGACTTTCCTCTCAGCCTTGGCTGGAGATGGAGCCACAGATACCCCAAAAGCAGAGACTCCCCAAATTGACCCTGTAAGATCAGCTCAAGGCAGGCAGTAGAGTCTGCTGCCTCCTTGGGTCTGGCTCAGGCTAACACTTGGATAAGAATGCATTCCCTGGGAGAGTGTCTGGCTTGATGGAGTTAAACTTACAGAGTGGCTTCCACAGCTGTCTCCCTGGGCCACCTGAAGACACTTACTTTTAGTCACCAGGTATCCAAGCCAGAGTCGACGCCTGAAGGATTCAGAGCCCTTTGTCTCAGGGGCTCACCTGTGTCTGGGGGAAGACACCCCCCACCCCCCACTGCGGGGAAGAGGCTCCAGTTCTGCTCCCACTGCTGTATGCTCTTAGTCCTGACCCCTGCTCCACCGAACAGGCAACAGCACAGGCAAAGCTGAGTCCCTGGGTCTGGAGAAGGGGGGGTGGCCAGTTGGCTGGAGGGCAAGGACCAGGAATGCCCTTACTACGACCAAGCAGTTAGGGTCAGGCTAAGGCACAGCTCATGGTGCCACAGGTGAAGTGTGCATGGCAGAAGCCTAGTACACACTTGTACATTGTGATGTTAACTTACCCTCTGAGCCCTGAATGGACCTCAGGGTAGAACTGAAATTCCCTGGGGTACGGGCTAGGAGATTTCTGTTCAGGAATCTGGGAAGAAGGTACCATTTTGGTGGGGGAGAGAAAGGGAGCCTAAAGGGTTCCATCAAGGTCTTTGAAAGACCAACGCTCTTGAATGACCCTGGCATGTTGGACGGGCCCCCCACCAACAGGCCACAGGTGAATATCCTGAGTCAGGCACCTCCCCACAAGGACAAGTCCCACTCTACCCCCAGAACCATGCCCGGAAGGAGCTGCTGTCTTATGAGCAGCTCCCCAGTGGCCTGGCATCCAATGGCCCCCCCCATACCAGGAATCTCATACCTCTCTCAGGAGCTCACCCCATACCTAACAATTGGGTTCCCACTCTCCAACTTAGCTCTGTGTTGCTGTGGATGAAGCCAATTTCCTTTCACCTCTTGACTCAGGTAGAAGCACGCTTTCCTGAGCTGGCCTTTCCCATCCTTGGATAGCATGATTCAGACCCTCAGGTCTGCTTATTCCACCTTACAGCCACCAGTTTTCTCCCCCTTTCCTTTCCCCTCTCCCAACATTGTCTGGGCTGCTCCCTCTTGGTTCCCTTGCGTCCATGTTAAACCCCAAGCCCAGGGCTCAATCTAGCTTGTGCCAAGCAGAAGGCAGCCTCCCACAGCCATTACGTTATCACATTTATTAGGCCAAGAGACACCAGACTCGAACGTTTGGAAAGAAATGATTCATGTGTTGATGCTCCTCAGGAGAACAGCTGCCCTCCTCTCCAGCTAATGATGACAGTGCCTGATATTTGTAAAGTGGGTTTAACTTATCAAAGTACTTTCAGATCCGTCATTTATTTGGGGCTTGTCCAAGTCTTGGAAGTAAGATATTGATAGCATTTCTGTTTTACAGGTGAGGGGTTTATACCCAGAGAGGGTGAATGACTGGCCTGGGGGCACACGGCACACTGGCCAAGACAGGATTAGAAACCCAGCCTTCTCATTCACAGCCCCATGCACTGCCCATAACAACCCAAATTTTGTGGCATACTCATTCTACAGAGCCTGATGTTCAGGAAGCTATCAAAAAATAGAGATTCAACCTCAATACTGTGCCTTCCTAAAGGCATGCCTTATATTTAGGGAAGCCAGTGCAACAAGAGCACAGTCCCAAACTCCAATGCCGGAGTTTCAGTTGGGAGCTCCCCTGGCCACTAGGGGAGAAGTGGCTTTCCTCACCTGCCCGTTTCCTCTCAACCACACCCTCTTCCGGGGCAGGGGGGCTGGCATCACTGTAGGTGCTGTCCCTGGGCGAGGTCTCCTGTGACTTGCAATAAATGGGCGACTCCAGCTGGGGTGGCCGAGGTACATGCTTCTTCCGTTTCTTGGGCAGCTTCTGCTTGGCCATGGCCAGAGAGTAGTACATGCCGAAGTTGTTGACAATGACAGGCACGGGCATGGCAATGGTGAGCACGCCGGCCAGAGCACACAGCGCCCCCACCAGCATGCCGGACCACGTCTTGGGGTACATGTCCCCGTAGCCCAGTGTTGTCATGGTGACGACGGCCCACCAGAAGCCGATGGGGATATTCTTAAAGTCGGTGTGGTCATTGCCCCGCGGGTCGGAGGGCCTGGCGCCGATGCGCTCTGCGTAGTAGATCATGGTGGCGAAGATAAGCACGCCCAGGGCCAGGAAGATGATGAGCAGCAGGAACTCGTTGGTGCTGGCGCGCAGGGTGTGGCCCAGCACGCGCAGCCCCACAAAGTGGCGCGTGAGCTTGAAGATGCGTAGGATGCGCACGAAGCGCACCACACGCAAGAAGCCCAGCACGTCGCGGGCCGCCTTGGATGACAGGCCACTCAGTCCCACCTCCAGGTAGAAGGGCAGGATGGCCACGAAGTCGATGATGTTGAGCAGGTTCTTGACGAAGTCCAGCGTGTCCGGGCAGCACACGATGCGCACCAGGAATTCCAGCGTGAACCACAGCACACACACGCCCTCGATGTAGGTCAGGATGGGCTCCGTCTCCACCTCGCGCCGGAAGCGCACGCTGGTAGTATTCCCCACCCGGTGAATCTCCGTCACGTTGCGGTCGATGTTGAAAGCCTCGTGGGTCTCCAGACAGAAGGTGGTGATGGACACCAGGATGAAGAAGAGAGAGGCGAAGGCCACCACCTATGGGCGGGGAGGAGAGTGAGGGCAGCTGTGTCAGGAATGGATGCGCCCAGCGGGGACAGGGCCCTCTGCCTGTGGAGGGAGGGGCCATAGGTCACCAGGCAGTCTGTCAGGTGGTGAGAGGTGGGATTAAGGAGCAAGGTGGGGGGCTGGAATTCCCTCCCCAGAGGGTCTTCATCTGTATGCTGTGAGTTGCTCAGTCCTGTCCACTCTGCGACCCCATGGACTATAGCCTGCCAGGCTCCTCTGTCCATGAAATTCACCAGGCAAGAATAGTGGAGTAGGTAGCCATTCCCTTCTCCAGATCTTCCCAAGCCAGGGATTAACCCAGGTCTCTTGCATTGCAGGCATATTCTCTACTGTCTGGGCCACCAGGGGAGCCCTTTATCCATGTACTTGCTAAGGCAGGACTTCCCGGTCCTTGTCAGGTGAACAGAGGTTAGAGGCTGCTCTTGGCTGGAAGGAACTGAACAGAGAACTATAGCTGCCCCATCCTGCCTACTGCCTACCTCTGCCCACCTCTAACCCTGTCGTGCTCTGAGCTTCTCAAACTGGAATGGCTATATAAGTCATCTGGGAACCTTGTTAAAATGCCACTCTGATTCAGGAGGTCTGGGGCAGGGCCTGGGCTTCTGCATTTCTAACAGGCTCTCAGGTAAGGCTGCTTGTCCACAGACCGCACCTCAAGTAACTAGACTTCAAGGCAGTGGTCTTCAAAGTGAGGGCCTGGATCAGGAGCATCAGCATCAGCATCAGTTGGGAACCAGTTAGAAACGCCAAGTCTCAGGCCCCACTCAAACCTACTGAATGACAAATGCCGGGGGGAGGATCTAATAATGTTCCAACAATCCTTCCCAGTAATTCTGATACACACCAAGTTAAGAGAGCCACTGCATTAAGGAGTACCTAGAGGCAAGGGGCTGGCTTTCTACCTATTAAGCTCTGGCCGTGACCCACATCTTCAAGCCCAGTCATAGCCCCTCTGGCCAGCCTCTCACTCTAGGATTCCCAGCTGACTGCCCAGACGGTGAGAAGCATTTGAAGGAAGACAGCCTGCTGCAGGGCAGGAGACAGGGTAGTCTGTGCAGAATATCGACTCTGTCCCTTCTCCAGAGGCTTCCCTGGGGGCTCAACAGTAAAGAATCCGCCTGCAGTGTGGGAGCCACAAGAGATGCAGGTTCGATCCCTGAATTGGGAAAGATCCCCTGGAGGAGAGCATGGCAACCCACTCCAGTATTCTTGCCTGGAGAATCCCATGGACAGAGGAGTCTGGCGGGCTATGGTCCATAGGGTTGCAAAGGATTGGACACGACTGAGCACGCATGCCCTTCTCAAGAACTGACATTTCCTGAGACACTGAGCACCAATAAAAAATAAACTGCACCCACTGGGATCAGAGTGTGGCAACAGCCGATCTAGACAGCTGCCGAGATCGTAGCTAGAATGATGACAGCAGCACTCAGCAGAGGAACGGCTGGGTTTAAGTGTCCAATCATTATGAATGGAGATGAAATGCATGTGTAATAACACCAATTACGGAGCCTTCATTTGTTATTCATGTGGTACCATTCACCACTGTCAGGGTACTGGTTGCTGGGGTCCACGCCCCCTGCTGTAGCCTGTCCTGCTAGGAGGGTGGAGGTGGGTTTGCTCCCTGAACAGAGGGCTGAGCTTAAATAAGATACATGAGGGAGGACTGTGCCCCATGACCACTTGGCAACCCCCAATGTCCACCTCACTCCGATTGCCACCTGGCCATGGCATTGCCCCCTATCTAATGATGTCCCCCGGAGATGCTTTCCTCCCTGAGAGTCTGCACCGAAAGACAGACAGACTGCACCACAGACAGGGTGGGCGGACACACCTGTTCTTAGTACCACAAAACACCAAGGGAGAATATAGAGGGAATGGCGCTCTCCAGGTGGCGCTAGTGGTAAAGAATCCTCCTGCCAATGCAGAAAATGTAAGCGACACGGGTTGGATCCTGGGGTCGGGAAGATCCCCTGAAGTAGGAAACGACAACCCACTCCAGGATTCTTGCCTGGAAAATTCCAGAGGAGCCTGGTGGTCTACAGTCCACGGAGTCCCAACAAGTTGGACACAACTGAGCATGCATAAGCTCATGAGCTGGCAAAATGAAGCAAGAAATAGTGCCTGCAAGGATTTCTGGAGCAGAAGTGAGTCTGAGAAGGGAACTTTGGGACGAACATTCATTAGTTCTCTATACTGTGCATGGCACACTTGGGCATTCTGTGTTATCACCTTCAGCCTTCCCTATGAGGTAGGCCCCATTATCCCACTTTCCAAAGGAGGAGCTGAGGATCAGAGAGGTTATATACTTGTCTAAGGTTACACAGCCTTAAAGGGATGGACACCAGATTTGAACTCAGCACCACTTACTTTCTTTTCACACCTTCTGGGTTGGGTCAATTCATAAACCCAGGAAAGTCATATCTGAATTATCAATACTTCTCCCAGCCAGCTCTCTGATGACTGATATTTCACCCTTAGGAACATATACCTTTGACTTGGGACACTCAACCACACACTAAACTAAAACTTATTTACACTTGAGCATGGACAGGTTGATCAGACACAGTAAGTTAGGAGAAGCAGAGTAGCAGACCACAGACACGCTTTCCCACTTGAGAACTCTATCTGTAGCTTCTGCCTGCTTCTCCCCATGAAGGTGAATTTCAAGTTCCCTTTCTGGTTTCATCTTTTTCCCATGAGGAATGGGCTGTCAAGACAATATGGCTGACATGCTGCTGCTGCTGCTAAGTTGCTTCGGTCGTGTCCGACTCTGTGCGACCCCATAGATGGCAGCCCACCAGGCTCCCCTGTCCCTGGGATTCTCCAGGCAAGAACACTGCAGTGGGTTGCCATTTCTTTCTCCAACGGCTGACAAGGGCATTAGGCAAATAGCTCCAGCCCATGGGTTTTCCACGGCCGTCCAGAGATGCGCTGGTGGAGGCACATGTCCAGTAGCCGTGGTGATACCAGGAACCCCGAGTCCTGGCACTGCTCTCCCAAGCAGAGGAGGCTGGGGTGAGGGGTGGGGTCAGCATATCCCAGCTCTGCCAGGAAGCCTGGGAAGCAGAAGCTTGCACTCTCAGAAGGAAATGTTAGCCAGGAGAGTTGGCCCACCTGGGAGCCCAACATGAAGTTAATTAGCGATTTGGATAAACAAGTTCACAAAAGCTGCCAAGACACAGAGCAGAGGGTGCAGGGAGTGGGGGTGAGGGGAAGAAGGGTGCTGTGGCGCCGGGACCCTCTCCCACCTGCAGAGCCAAGGTGCCTTCCTCAACTCCGCCCCATGGGCTCCTTCTGTGGCAGGCCCAGCAGGTGCCAGCCACCCCTGAATTCCTGCACTGTTCACTTGTTATTTAAAAAAAACTGAACCATCCCATCTACTGACTTCCACCCCTCCCTGCTCCTCTCTCAGAGTGAGGACAGAGAAAGGGGAGCCACATGTGCCCACCTCTTATGGCCAACAGAGGCACGAGACAGGGAAAAGGACTTGTTGCGGATTAAACCGAGGCTGGGTCCCGACTCACAGATCTTTTCTCTTGGCCCCTTTGGCCAAAAGTGGGACAATCCTCCTTGATGAAACCTACACGGGGCCTCAGTCTCCTGTGTGGCCCCTCTAGGCTGGTCCCAGAAAGCATGCACTCCCTGAGGAGACAGGCAGAGCTGAGGCCAAGCCCTGATGGACGCAGTGGCCTGTGCTCTAGCAGGCTGCCCCATTTTGGGTCCCAGGGTTACAGGTTCCCCTTCAGGGCTCAAATGATTCCTCTCTCCCCTACATTATTCCCCAAGCCTAATTATGCTGTAAGTGGTGGCCCTACTTTCACCCAGCATTTTCCCTTTGGTGGCAAGGATACTGCTGTCTTTCTCACAAATCTTTTTGTGGTCTGTGATTTTTTTGTTTTTCTTGCTCGCACTGCACAGCATGTGGGATCTTAGTTCCCGGACCAGGGATCGAACCCACTTCCCCGGCACTGGAAGCACAGAGTCTTCACCACTGGACCACCAGGGAAGTTCCATTCTCACAACTCTTGATTGGGACGTTAAAGGGACCAGGGAGGAGGCAGCTGCACTAGCCCACTTAGAGGTCAAGGCCTCACACTTGAGCCTCCTGCCCAGTCCCTCCACCCCCACCCTGGGCCATCCTACCAGCTGGCAGGGCTCCTCAGAGCACTGCCCATCAGCTCCTGCCCCACACGGGGCTGTGTGGCCTCAGGGAGCTGAGACTGAGGGCAAAAAAGAGCTAAGGAGCCCTGGGGTCAGACTGCCTGGGTGCCTCATCCCGCCACTGCCAGGCAGCCGGGGCAGTGGGGCAGTCTGTGCCTGCTTCCTCGCTACCCAATGGGACAGTTCCAGTGTCCCTAGTGGTGGCACTGCAGGACTGGGTGAGCTTCGACACAGCAAGCGCCTGGCATGCAGTGAGCCCTCAGTAAATGGTAACGGAGCTGAGACGGGCGGGGAACCCTCTGTGAATATCCCCTTGCAGCTTCTGAGGACGAGCTGGATCTGGAACCCAAACTATCACAAAGTCTTTGCTTTTCAGAAGTGAGATTTAGAAGGTCACTGAATTCAATGTCCTTTCTGCTGTTTTATAGATGACGAATCTTGGGGGGCCTGGGGAGAAGTGACTTGCCTGGTTCCCATGGCCAAAGTTGTCCCTTCTTTCCATTGCCTGGGGACAGAGGGCGTGGATTTTGCTGGAAGTTAAACCTGTCCAGGCGGAAAGCCGCCCATGTGAACTGGTCTGGCCAGCAGCAGCCCCTCTCCTGGCAGGTGGGAGGATGCAGGAGGTTCAATCCGCCCTGGACAGGAGGGTCCTAACCTCTGTGAAGGAGCACCCTGCTCCTTCAAGCTTCCTGCTCTCCTGGGCCCCTCGCACTGGCCGGCTGTATCCTGTTGGGGACCTATGTGTCTCCCAACACCCAACTGTTTCAGCTGGTGGGCCACCCCTGTGACCAGTGTCCTTCACCGAG